GTTGCCAACTCTGATTTTCCCCATCTGAATATATATTGTCTATCTTCTGTAGATTTTTGCTCTAATGTGATGACTTTACCATGAAACCACTATTCTAACTGTACGATTTTGTGCAGGAGATGGGGAGACTGTTTAGAGTTTTTAGTGGTAATTGGAAGAGAGACCGTCGGGAGCACTGGCATTTCCTCCCCGCGCCTGGTGATAACCCCTGGACCATGTATGTCAAGGAAGCTGATAATTATCAAATGGTGGAAGGGTCAATAAGAGAGGTTTATGGTCTAGGTGAGGCTACGCCGGTGATTATCACCTATGGGAGGCCTGACTGGATGCTTTCCCTAGTGGGAACATACCCCCACTGACGATATCAACTTCTCATGATCTTCATGATTTGTTAACGGGGAGGCCATGGGTGACAGAGGTTACTTTACTGGTTACTATTGGGGCAAGGAGCGTGGCAGAGTACAACTTTCTCCGACGTTCTAACTTCAGTATTGGGACAACAACTTTTGTGGTTGATGGTGCCCAGGATGACAGAGCCAGAGCTATATTCGAAGGTTCGTAATATAAAACTTTTCAAGTATATTCTTTACTTATCAGAACCGACTTCCTCCTCATCTTACTAATATATGCTGAATTTATTTTTATTAGTTTTGGTTTTCAGTGAACGTCTTCTAACTAGTGAGAGGGTGATGTTGGAGATATTTGGAGAACAAGAGATGCAACTCCTCTACCGAGTTGCACTAGAGTTGCAACATGTTGACAGAGGTGTGGGTTTTCAGTCAGTAACTTTGGTTGAGCATGGTTTGGACATTATAACCATCGAGGATGACGAGGAGATGGTTGATGTCGGTAATATGGGAGTACAGCAACTGAACACAGTCGGTATGAATTTTTTGTACACCATCCTCAACTTTTCTTCCATCCTCAACTTTTCTTCCATAGCTTTTAATTGATCAAACTCACATCAAAATCAAACAGAAACGAAGTTAATAATCTGTTTTCTATCAAGAACAAGCAAGTATAACGGTCATATAATCAAGAATTGGTATCAGAGCACTAGGTTGTGTGTTGCTTGCTTGTGATTGAGTCAGGTTCATTAAAGAAGAATGGCTATGGATCTGAATCCTACTCGAGGTCGGTTCGAGATGGATAAGTTTGATGGTAACGGTGATTTTGGAATGTGGAAGTACAAGCTTCTTGGACAACTTGAGATTCAGGGATTAGCATCGGCGCTTGATGATGATGCTACTCTTTACAAGGATCCAGGAAAGCTTGAAGAAGGTTCTGAACCAGTTCTGGATCCAGTCAAAGTTGCAAAGGATACCAGGGTGAAGAATCTAATGGGAACATGTCTAAGTGATATGATTCTACGGAAGGTGATGCATGAGCCTACGGCTTATGAAATGTGGAAAGCACTTGAACGTGACTATCAGACTAAGACTTTGCCAAACAGGATATATCTTAAGCAACAGTTTGCGAGTTACAAGATGGAAGAGACTAAAACCATTGAAGAGAACATGGATGGCTTTCTGAAGTTAGTGGGTGATCTTGCAAGTGTTAATATAAATGTTAGTGATGAAGATCAGGCTATTCAGCTTCTTATTAGTCTACCATCTCAGTATGAAGCACTTGTTCATACACTGAAGTATGGGACAGGTAAAGACACGCTTACTGTAAGAGAGGTTGTCAGTTCAGCTTATGCTAAAGAGATTGAGCTTAAGCAAAAGGAGCTACTTGGAAAAGGTGGACGATCTAATTCTGAAGGTCTCTATGTTGAGTCAAGAGGGAGATCTAACCAGAGGAATGATCGCAACAATGCTAGTAGTAGTCGTTCTGGCAAAGGCAGGTCTAAGTCAAGAGATTTCAGGTCCAAGTCAAAACCCAAGTATAACAAGGATAATAAGACTGGATGTTTCATTTCCGGGAAGGATGGTCACTGGAAGCGTGAGTGTCCTCAGAGATATAATAAGGCACAGGGATCTGAAGATGCAGCAAATTCAGTCAGAGTTCGTAAGCAGCCTTTGGTACTTACTGTGAGTGCTAAAGATTCAAAAGACGAATGGATTCTGGATTCCGGGTGTTCTTTCCATATTACTCCACAGAGAGACGTTCTGTTTGACTTCAAAGTCATTGATGGAGGAAAGGTTCTAATCGCTAATAACACTCAGTGTGGTGTTAAGGGAATTGGAAAGATCAGAATACTGAACTCAGATGGGACAGAGATAATACTTACCGAGGTAAGATACATGCCACAAATGAGTAGAAATCTTATTTCCTATGGGATGTTGGAAAAGGCTGGCTGTATCTACAAAGGAGAAGATTTCAAGGTGACTTTCTATAAGAATGGAGAGAAGGTTAGCTCAGGTACCTATCAAGAAGGTCTTTACTATTTGGATGGTTCTGTGTCTAAAGCTGAAGTAAATATTGCAAAGGAAGAACCAAATATGACTGACCTGTGGCACTCAAGACTAGGACACATGAGCGTGTCTAATATGAACATTTTGGTCAAGAAAGGGTATCTTAAAGTTGAGGCTGTTGAGGACCTAAAGTTCTGCGAGAGTTGTGTGCTTGGCAAGGCGCATAAACAAATTTTTAACAAGGCAAGGCACACTACTAAGGGAATTCTAGAATATGTTCATTCTGACTTGTGGGGATCACCGTCTACACCAGAGAGTCTTGGAGGGTGCAAGTATTTTGTCAGCTTCATAGATGACTACTCTAAGAAGGTCTGGGTTTATTTTCTAAAGACTAAAGATGAGGCTTTTGAAAGTTTCAGAGAATGGAAACTTGAAGTTGAGAATCAAACCGGGAAGAAACTTAAGTGCTTAAGAACAGATAATGGTTTGGAATTCTGGAATTCTAAATTTGATCATCTATGCAAGGAGTCAGGGATAAAAAGACATCGTACTTGTACCTACACGCCACAACAGAATGGAGTTTCTGAAAGGATGAACAGAACTATAATGGATAAAGTCAGGAGTATGTTGGTTGAAACTGGTTTGGGATCTGAGTTTTGGGCTGAGGCTACTTCTACAGCAGTTTACTTGATAAATAGGACTCCAGGTTCCAGCATTGAATTTGAAATTCCAGAGGAAAGGTGGACAGGTGGAAAGGTTGATTTATCTCATATCAGGCGTTTCAGGTGTTCTACATATGTTCATAGAGTACAAGAAAAGACGAGTCCTAGAGCTGTGAAAGGAGTGTTTGTTGGTTATCCTTTCGGAGTTAAAGGCTACAGGGTTTATATTCAAGATGAAGGAAAGTGTACTACCAGCAGAAATGTTGTGTTTCATGAGAAAGAACTGTTTAAAGATACGCTAAATAATTCGAATGCCTATTCGAAGAAAGATTCAAGTGAATCAGAGAGAACCAGGAAGGGAAAGAAAAAGGTTTCTTTCAGTGATGATATGATTCTTGGTCCTACACCTGGTGGTAATTTTGAAGAGGCATCGACTTCAGGTGGAGTTATCTCAGACACCGAAGAAGAGAATTCTCAGGCGTCAGAAAGTTCTGATGGAGATTCAGATTCAGACTTGGGAACGGGTATTGTAGTGAGTTCTGGAGACACATCGTTAGATGGGTATATTTTGGCTAGAGATAGAGTCAGAAGGCAGAATGTTAAGGCACCGTCCAGGTTTGATGATGCTAATCTGGTAGCATATGCATTGAGTGCTGCTGAGGAGCTAGAGATTGAAGAACCTAAATCTTATGCTGAGGCGATGAAAACTAAGGAAAGGAAGCTTTGGGACAATGCAGCTAAGGAAGAAATGGATTCTCTTGAAAAGAATAGAACCTGGGATTTAATTGAACGACCTAATAATCAGAAAACGGTTGGGTGCAGATGGATCTTTAAGCTGAAACCGGGTATTCCAAGAGTGGAAGACAAGAGGTTTAAAGGGTGAGTTGTAGCTAAGGGGTATTCTCAAAAGGAAGGAATTGATTATAATGAAATTTTCTCACCAGTGGTCAAACATGTTTCTATACGGATTTTCTTGTCACTGGTGGTTAATTTCGATTTGGAACTGGAGCAGATGGATGTTAAAACAGCTTTTTTACATGGAGATCTAGAGGAAAGGATTCTTATGGAACAGCCTGAGGGTTTTATTAAGAAGGGAAATGAGGATAAGGTTTGTCTACTCAGGAAATCTCTCTATGGTCTAAAACAGTCCCCCAGGCAATGGAATCTAAAGTTTGATGGTTTCATGAAGAAGCAAAGGTTTATCAGAAACGAGTTTGACTCATGCGTTTACATGAAAGACATCAACACTGAGAAAGCAATCTACTTGTTACTTTATGTTGATGATATCCTTATCGCGTCTGGGATATAAATCTGCGATCAAAGCTCTAAAGGACAGTTTAAGTGGAGATTTTGAAATGAAAGACCTGGGTAAAGCTTCTAGAATTCTGGGAATGGATATTACTCGAGACAGGGAGAAGGTAATTCTGGTTTTATCACAAGCTAAGTATCTAGAGAAAGTCCTAAAGACATTTGGTATGTTTGAAGCTAGATCAGTTGTGACTCCTACGGCTTCTCATTTCAGGTTAAAGAGTTTACACCTTAAAGAAAGAGCTGCAGAGTACGAATACATGAAGGATGTTCCTTATGCGAGTGCGGTTGGGAGTTTGATGTATGCTATGGTTGGTTCAAGGCCAGATTTGGGATTCGCAGTTGGGTTGATCAGTCGGTTTATGTCTCATCCTAGCAGGGATCATTGGGAAGCAGTTAAATGGGTTCTGAGGTATGTAGCAGGGGCCTACAATCAGTGTTTAACTTTTAAGAAGTCTACAGAGTTTAATGTAGAAGGGTTCTCAGATTCAGATTATGCGACGGATTTGGATAAAAGAAGATCAGTCTCAGGTATTGTTTTCAAGGTTGGGAGAAACACTGTATTCTGGAAGTCAGGATTACAGTCAGTGGTAGCTTTATCTACCACCGAAGCTGAATTCATGGCTCTAACTCTAGCAGTAAAGGAAGCTATTTGGTTCAGAAATTTTGTTACAGAGTTAGGCTACCAGCAAGACAGTGTAAGGATACACTGTGATTCTCAAAGTGCTATCGCCCTATCTAAAAACATAGTACATCATGAAAGAACTAAACACATGGATACACAATTCAATTTCATCAGGGACATTGTGTCTAAGCGAATCGTCAACCTAGCGAAGATACATACATCTAAGAACCCAGCAGATTTCCTAACTAAATGCGTACCTGGTACTAAGTTCCAGCTCTGCTGTGAACTTCTCAACATCTGCTGAAGGTGATGGTCGGCTCCGGGTAACTCCACAAGTGTCTCAACATACAGAAACACAAGATAAATGTGAGTTAGTTTTCTGTAAAACGTATGTACTATATTTGAAGGTTTTATCTTTCGGACAACAGAGAGTGAGTTACCCGTAGAGAAAAGGAGATCGAGCAAGGTCTCTGGTTCTAAGGCTTAAGGTGGAGTTGTCAGCGTACAACTAGTTGGTTGTCTTCTGAAGAAGTTGAGGTTTCAGGTGGAGTATCTGAAAGATTTGTCTGTTAGTGGGGTTCTGGAATTTCGGATCTGCGATCTCAGAAACAGAGGAAAGACAGATGAGTGGTCAGTATATGTTCTTAGAATCATCAGAGGACATGCATGTGAACAAAAAGTTAAGATCTGGAAAAGTTATTACCTTGGAGCGGAAGCGTGTTGAAGTTTGAGGTCTTCCAACCAAGAGATTTCAGATCAAACACATGCATCATAAAAGGAAGGGGTTTTCAGGTTGAGTTTCAGAATCCAAAATCAAAGCTTATCGATTTGGTTCTGAATAGAGATCGAAGGAAGGTTAGTAGGGTCTTACCGTGCTATTGGTGAAGAGTTTCACCGGAGGAACATGGTTGTTTCTCGATGAGTGTTTGTTGGAGCTTTCTAGAGAGAAGAGAAAGCTAATCGGCGATAGAGAGAGAGAGACAAGACAAGACTCCTAAGGG